GGAGGCGGGTGAGTGCGAGCGGTCACACGGAGGGCCGGGCCGTCTCCCCACCCTATCCCCGCGGCCTCCTCTCGCCACTCCGCCTGCGCACTGAGGGCCTAGGGGGGCGCGCGCCGGGCGGTTAGGACGGAGCGGCTCCAACGGCCAGCGGGGCGCGCGGGCGGCCGGGCGGGGGCCGGGCCGGGGTGGCTGGTGGGGAAGGGGACTAGAATCGAGTGCTGGGCTGAGTGAGGAGGGGCGGGGCTCGGGCGGAAAAGAGAGGCCTTGGAGCTGTCCCTAGGAGGGCTCCGAGGCTCCGTAGGGTATCAGGGTAAAGGACACGGTGGTAGGACAAGTCCAGGACCTCAGGCAGTGGAGCGGTTAGGCCGTATTTGGGTGCCCCGTGAGGGATTTGGAGCGTGAGAAAATAACCTGGGGGGGGGATCTAGTTACCCCGGGAAAGAATTAGGGCAGTGAGAAGGGTCTTGGTGTGAAACGGTATTAAGAAATGGATATTACTAAGGGAGAGATTTAGTACTAAGGTACCGTTCTAGGTGTGAAGGATGGGGTTAAATTTATGAAGAGGCGTTAAACTAATGTTTTGGGGGGTTGGGTATCCGTGGAATGCGTTGAGAGGAGTCTTTGTACAAAGAAAGATTATGTTAATGTGAAAAGGGTGTCTGGGTGTCCCTAGAATGAGTTGGGGGGAGGTGGTTTTTTGTTTTTGTTCTTTTAAGCATAGGTAATTAGGCCAAGGTGAAGTTAGAATTTGGATATCGCTGGGGGAGGGGAGTAGAGTGTGGAGATCTCTGTGCTAAGAGGGGTGGGGTGGGGGTGTCTGGGAATTCCTGAAATGAGAATCAGATGGTAAGCTAATAAGTTGGAGGTCTGGGTATCTCCAGAGTAGTAGACTGGTGAGAAGAGTTTGGGTGTGAGCAAAAGGGGTCTGTCTACTGAATTAGGGTGGTGATGGGGGTTCTGCATGAGAATAAGGAGTCTGAGTATCCCTAGGAGATTTGGGAGTGGGAGAGGTATATGTGAAAGGGGCTTAAGCTATTGTGATGGGTAGTCTGATGTCCTTGGACTGAGTTAGTGTGTGGGGATCTTTTTGCAAAGAACAGTTGATATGAAGAGATAGTCTGAGTATCCCAGGAATGGTTTAGGGTGGGATTGGGTCTTTTTGCAAACAAACAGATGAGGTTAATAATGAGAAGGAGCGTCTGGGTATCCCTGGAATGGGTTAGGGTATGTGGGTGTGTATGGAAGGATTTACATCCATGTGAGGAAAGTACCTTGGCATCCCTGTCATGGGTTATGATGGACTTTTTTGCAAAGAGAGACTTGGGTTATAAAGAGAGGGTGTGGGTATCCCTGAATAATTTAGGATGATTGTGTATGAAGAAGAGGGGTTTAAGTCAATGTGAAGAGGGGATCTGGGTATCCCAGAGGGGATTAGAATTGAAGATTATGTCTTGGTACAAAGAAGTGATTAATACGGATAATATCTAGATACCTAGAGGCATGAGTTAGGGTGGTGGGAAGGGTCTGGATATGTTGGGTAGGGTGTTAGGTTTGTGGGAAAGGGCCTTGATTTGTAAAGAAGGTTAAGTAAAGGGGGGGGGGGCCTGGGTAAAACCAGGAATTGGCTATGGTGGGGAAAGGTTGGGTATGGAGATAGGTTAGGTCAACAATAAGAGAAAATTTGGGGGGAAGAGATAGTTTGATATGAGGAATTTGGACACTAGAGGAAGAGAGTTAGTGGGCATTAGAGCTTGTGTGTAAGAGAGAAGGGCCACACCATGTAAGGGTGCCAAAAGTGGAATGGCAGGGCATTGGGATAGTTTGAGTAGAATGGGTGTAAAAATAAGTCTGATACCCTGAGAGAAGTAGGCGGGGGAAGGCCTGTGTGAGATTTTGCCTGAGTGCTTTAGAGAGAAAAGGGGTCATGTGAGTTGGTAAGGAGTCAATGGAAGGAGGTCCAAGTGGAGAGAGACAGGTTTTTGTGTGATGGGCAGGGGATCATGGGGTCTGCTGTGAGGCGTGGGAGATGAAGGGATTGGACAGGTTACAAGGCTCTAGTGGGTAGAGTTTGATTGGAGTTGATTCTGAGGTGAGATTTTGGGGATAGATTCCTGGGGAAGGGACTGCTGGGAAGATTTTGTGTTTGGTGTTTTTGTTTTATGTTCAGGGGAGGAAGGGTTGTTAGGTGGGACTGGAAAAATTAAGATGTTAGGTGGGGAAATAGATCTAAGGTATTGGGAGGTGAGAGTGATAAAGGGAAAGAACCACCCTTGGGAAGTACTGAGGAAACAGTGGCCTGACTGATTTATCTCTATTCTTACCTCTCCCAGCCCAGGGCCTTGCCGCTACCATGACTGAAGAGTCAGAGGAAACAGTCCTGTACATTGAGCACCGCTATGTCTGCTCTGAGTGCAACCAACTGTATGGATCCCTGGAGGAGGTGCTCATGCACCAGAACTCCCACGTGCCCCAGCAGCACTTTGAGCTGGTGGGCGTGGCTGATCCTGGAGTCACTGTGGCCACAGAGGCAGCTTCTGGCACTGGCCTCTATCAGACCCTAGTTCAGGAGAGCCAGTACCAGTGCCTGGAATGTGGTCAGCTGCTGATGTCTCCTAGCCAACTCCTGGAGCACCAGGAGCTGCACCTGAAGATGATGGCACCCCAGGAGGCAGTGCCAGCTGAGCCACCACCCAAGGCACCATCCCTGAGCTCCAGTACCATCCACTATGAGTGTGTGGATTGCAAGGCTCTCTTTGCCAGCCAGGAACTCTGGCTGAACCACCGGCAGACTCATCTCCGGGCCACACCCACCAAGGCTCCTGCCCCAGTTGTCCTTGGGTCCCCAGTTGTCCTAGGGCCTCCTGTGGGCCAGGCCCGAGTGGCTGTGGAGCACTCGTACCGAAAGGCAGAAGAGGGTGGGGAAGGGGCGGCTGTCCCATCTGCAGCTGCCACCACCACCGAGGTAGTGACTGAGGTGGAACTGCTCCTCTATAAGTGCTCTGAGTGCTCTCAGCTGTTCCAGCTGCCAGCTGACTTTCTGGAGCACCAGGCCACTCACTTCCCTGCTTCTGCCCCAGAGGCTGAGGAACCTGCCTCACAGCAGGAGACACTGACCTCATCACCCACAGAGCTGCCTGTATCTCAGCCTGACCCCCTGCCAGCTTCTGACCACAGTTACGAGCTACGCAATGGTGAAGCCATTGGGCGCGATCGCCGGGGACGCAAAGCCCGGAGAAGCAACAGTGGAGAGCCAGGCGGAGCAGCCACACAGGAGCTTTTTTGCTCAGCCTGTGACCAGCTCTTTCTCTCACCCCACCAGCTACAACAGCACCTGCGAAGTCACCGGGAGGGTGTCTTTAAGTGCCCCCTGTGCAGTCGTGTCTTCCCCAGCCCTTCCAGTCTGGACCAGCACCTTGGAGACCACAGCAGCGAGTCACACTTTCTGTGTGTAGACTGTGGCCTGGCCTTTGGCACAGAGGCCCTCCTCCTGGCCCACCGGCGGGCCCACACCCCAAATCCTCTGCATTCATGTCCATGTGGAAAGACCTTTGTTAACCTTACCAAGTTCCTTTATCACCGGCGTACCCATGGGGTAGGGGGTGTCCCTCTGCCTACGACACCAGTTCCACCAGAGGAGCCTGTCATTGGTTTCCCTGAGCCAGCCCCAGCAGAGACTGGAGAACCAGAGGCTCCTGAGCCCCCTGTGTCCGAGGAAACCTCGGCAGGGCCTGCTACTCCAGGCACCTACCGCTGCCTCCTGTGCAGTCGTGAATTTGGCAAGGCATTGCAGCTGACCCGGCACCAGCGTTTTGTGCACCGGCTGGAGCGGCGCCATAAATGCAGCATTTGTGGTAAGATGTTCAAGAAGAAGTCTCACGTGCGTAACCATCTGCGCACACACACGGGTGAACGGCCCTTCCCCTGTCCTGACTGCTCCAAGCCCTTCAACTCACCTGCCAACCTGGCCCGCCACCGGCTCACACACACAGGAGAGCGACCCTACAGGTGTGGGGACTGTGGCAAGGCTTTCACGCAAAGCTCCACTCTGAGGCAGCACCGCCTAGTACATGCTCAGCACTTTCCCTACCGCTGCCAGGAATGCGGGGTGCGTTTCCACCGCCCGTACCGCCTGCTTATGCATCGCTACCACCACACAGGTGAGTACCCCTACAAGTGTCGAGAGTGTCCCCGCTCCTTCTTGCTGCGCCGGCTGCTGGAAGTACACCAACTTGTGGTCCATGCTGGGCGCCAGCCCCACCGCTGCCCATCCTGTGGGGCTGCCTTCCCCTCCTCACTGCGACTCCGCGAGCACCGCTGTGCAGCTGCTGCTGCCCAGGCCCCACGGCGCTTCGAGTGTGGCACCTGTGGCAAGAAAGTGGGCTCAGCTGCTCGACTGCAGGCCCACGAGGCTGCCCATGCAGCTGCTGGGCCTGGAGAGGTCCTGGCTAAGGAGCCCCCAGCCCCTCGGGCCCCGCGGGCCACTCGCACACCAGTTGCCTCACCAACGGCCCTTGGAGGCACTGCCACAACAGCCCCTGCGGCCCCTGCCCGACGCCGGGGCCTGGAGTGCAGTGAGTGTAAGAAGCTGTTCAGCACAGAGACATCACTGCAGGTACACCGGCGCATCCACACAGGTGAGCGGCCATATCCATGTCCAGACTGTGGCAAAGCCTTCCGTCAGAGTACCCATCTGAAAGACCACCGGCGCCTGCACACAGGTGAGCGGCCCTTTGCCTGTGAAGTATGTGGCAAGGCATTTGCCATCTCCATGCGCCTAGCAGAACATCGCCGCATCCACACAGGTGAACGGCCCTACTCCTGCCCTGACTGTGGCAAGAGCTACCGTTCTTTCTCCAACCTCTGGAAGCACCGCAAGACCCATCAGCAGCAGCACCAGGCAGCTGTACGACAGCAGCTGGCAGAGGCAGAGGCTGCCGTTGGCCTGGCTGTGATGGAGACTGCAGTGGAGGCGCTGCCCTTGGTGGAGGCCATTGAGATCTACCCTCTGGCTGAGGCTGAGGGAGTCCAGATCAGTGGCTGACTCTGCCCCGTTTCCCTCTTCAGCACCATCATGCACTGTTGCTGAAGGCCCTCCTCTAGCATCCCCTTAACCCTCTGGACTTAATGTACCCCTTCTTCCCACCCCTACTGCCATGTATGTTCTGTTATTGGATTTATTCTCTTCTGGGGGGGTTTCTGGGGTTCTTGATATGCATAAAGGTGCCCCCACCCAGCTTTCCACCTGTTAGTACTGGTGACCCCAAAAGTGAAACCATCAATAAAGACTGAGTTGTACACTTATGAGCTTTTATCAGGCCCTGCTATGTAGAGTAGAACTGGGGAGTCATGAGGTCAGATACTGGGTCTGGCTTCTCATGGCAATGTCGCCAGCACCCAGAATGGCCTGGCAGGTACTAGCAGTTCAGTAAACATTTGCTGAATTGATGAGAAAGGAACTGGCACCCCTGGGTATGGTTCTGAGTGGAAAGGACCTGGCTTCCGTGAGCATGGCTCTGAGTGGGGACTTCATGCTGGTGCTGGGTGGAGGCAGCATGGCTCTCTTGCCACTAGAGGTCCCCACAGCCCTGTGGAAAAGCTCAAGGCTGTTTCTGCTGGTGGCAGGAATATTTAGAGAAATCATATTCTTAGCACCTGTGTCACCTACTCCTGGCCTGATGTGGGCCATATCACCCAAGACCATCTGGTTTTCTCATTGGATCCCTGAGGGCAAATGCAAGTCAGGCATGATTTCTATGGCAGAAGAGAATAGCTTCTGGGGCCAGACCCAGCTGTAGGGTTGGAGAAGATTCATAGTAATGTGTGGCTGGGGGTAGGAATTCTCATGAAAGGTGCCTTGAATCCCCCTTGAAGCTGGACTTCGGCTCTGCAACATATTTTTGTTGTGCAAAGAGGAATTGTTGGGGTGGCTGGCCAGTGTTTGAACATCTAGTTAGTCTCAAGTACTTCTTACATTATTTTGAATAATATTCCCACTGATTGTGTAAGGAGAATTGTAGGGAAGGTATCTGCCATCAAAAGCATTGAGATGGCTTGCCCAAGGACAGAGTCAACCCAATCAGGGCAGAGCTTGAACTTAAACCTGGTTTCATTTGATTTAATTGCCCATATGCTTTACTCTACACTCTGCTACCTTCTGCATACTTGGGGGAGGGCAGTAGAGACAGGAGACGGGGAGTGTGTGACTGGTGGTAATGTTCAGCTGCTGCGCTGCCCTTGCCTCTGAGACCCTCTCCTCCTCCCCAAGGTTACTCTAGATTCTTCTGTTGGAAAGAACTCTTATTTAGAACCTCAGTAAGTGAGAGGTAAAAGGGAAGCTGTTTGTTTGGAAACTTAGGGAAAGGAAGACCCAAGACACACCCACTTGGCCTCCCTATTACTCTTTACTCCCTTTAGCAGGCCTTTTGCCCTCTGCAGACACCAGGGCTCTAAGGTATCATTTGAAAATCATTGGTTCAACCTGTTGCTCAGATGAGAGCCAAAAGTCAGGTGTCCTAACTTTTACTACACTATGCTTATTTTAATTGTTTTTTTTTTAAAATACACTTACCCATTTGATGTCCTAACAGCTCCTATAAAGAGCAACTCTATTAAGCAGTTGTTTCCCACCAGGGTGTGTAAATTGTGGGCACCGTCTTTCAATAACCGCATACCCTGCAAAAAGGACTTGAGCCATCTTAGCCCCAAATGCCAAGTCCCCAAATCCCCAGGTGAAGTCATTCCCGAGCCACCACCTTGCAAGAAGAGCTATACATCCTGAAAGTCATCAAATAAGTGTTTAGAATAATTGGAGTAATCATCCTTGCAAAACCAGGTAAAAATCAGACTGAATCAAGAAAAGGGATGAGAATGGTGAAAAAAATCAGAGAGTGCTGGTTAACAACAAAATAAAGATGCTCTCAACAGAGAAGAATGATACTATGACTGTGGTTGGTCATCCTTCCTCCATTATTCTTTTTTTGGAGCCTCTAGTTGGGCTCCTATCCTGAGAAAAGGTTTTATGTACAACACGTTTAAAAACAAGTTTAGGGGATTCATTGTTCATCATCATCCCATTGAAACTTCCATGGTCCTCAGTTGAACCATAGTCCTAAAAAATAATAACACTAATCACTTGGGTGCTATTGCTTGGGTTGAATGGGCTATTAAATTTGGGTTCCCAAATTTTAATGTATTTTGGGCAGGAGACTTGGATTCAGCAAGCATATCTGGGGTGAGACCCAGGAATCTGCACTGTGTACACAAAACAATCCTGATGACAGTGGGGCTTGCATTGCCTGTTTTTACTTGAAACGGAAGTTGCCCAAGCAAAGTAGTTAAGGGGCCAAAACACTAATTCCTTAGTGCACAATAAGGTTTTTTTTTGTTTTTCTTTTTTGAGTTGGAATCTCACTCTGTCGCCCAGACTGGAGTGCGGTGACACGCTCCCGGCCACCGGAGCCTCGACCTGCTGGGCTCCGGCGATCCTTCCGCCTCAGCCTTCCAAGTAGCGGAGCTACAGGCGTGTGCTATCACGCCCAGCTAATTTTTTATTTATTTATTGTAGAGATGAGGTCTCGCCAAGTTGCCCAGGTGGGTTTCAAACCCGTGGGCTCAGGCAATCCACTCACCTCAGCCTCCCAAAGCGCTGGGATTACAGGCTGAGCCACCGAGCCTGGCTGCACAATATGGTTTTTGTTTGTTTTTTGAGTTGAAGTCTCACTCTGTCGCCCAGACTGGAGTGCAGTGGCCGCTCCCGGCCACCGCAGCCTCGACCTGCTGGGCTCCGGTGATCCTTCCGCCTCAGCCTTCCAAGTAGCCGGAATTACAGGCATGCGCTACCACGCCCGGCTGATTTTTTGATTTATTGTAGAGATGAGGTCTCTCTGCCCAGGCAGGTCCCGAACCCGTGGGCTCAGGCAAGCCACTCATCCAGCCTCCCAAAGGCACGGGATTACAGGCTGAGCCACTGAGCCCGGCTTGCACAATGTTTTTAACAAGAGTGGTATGACTGTAGAAGGCAGGGCATATAGAGCAGTTGGGCACAATCATAAGACTAACAGTGAATGTGGAGTTGAAGCTTCAGGACAGGCAGTGAGTGCCACGGTGCTCTTAGGTGTGCCATCTGCTTGTCAGGATAGCCTGCATGATTCTGACTGTACCACCCTAAAATGAGACTGGACTGAATGACCTTCCTCCAGGTACTACTCTGATGCTCCATGTATACTGACTTGAGAGTTGAAGAGGTGCTTTTTTTCTTCCATTTTTGCCAAAGCAATGCAGTAGTGACACTATCTTGCTAAATATCAAACCCACCTCCCACTGTATTCCTTTTTCCTGTGCTCCTATTCTCGCAGTCTTTACTGAATTCACAGAATCCTAGCACCTGTGTGCCAGGCATACATCAGAGGATGGAACGGTGACAAACCCAACAGCTTCCTAGTGTAAGACTGTTGCTCTAAAAAAGGAAGGGGGGTGGTGTGTACATTGTACCACCAGACAACTTGAAAATCACTCTGGTTTTTAAGGGTCTTTTTAGTCTTCTGAGGAAGCATCCAAGGATGGAGATGGGGAAATACTTGGTGTTTTCCTATTTTCTCATAACTCTCACGTGTTGAAGATGGTGTGCTGGAAATCTGTCCTAAGCACTTTTAGTTACACTTTCATCTCACAACCCCGTGAGGCAAGTATTGTCCTGTTTTACAGATGAGAACACTGAAGCTCACGTATTGAAAGTCACATATCTATAAAGCAGCATAACTGAAACTTGAATTCAGGAATTTGAATTTGTTCTAAGTTCCAAGACTTGGTTTTTTGGGTGAAATAATTTGTGCCTTACTTCTGAACATTCACAATTGGAACAGAAGTAAAACCCTTAGCTCCCCTGCATGCAGATCCCCAATCCCATACCCTGATTTCCTCACCACCCTTCCCAGGACAGAGAGTCAGGAGACCAAGGGAGAGCAGGCATCATTTCTCTCTGTACAGTTTTTAATTTTTTATTTTTTGATGTTTGTTGTTCAGATGAATGACACACTCAAGTTACAAAAATGGGGCCTTAAAAGAAGCACATTGTACAATGAACAAGCAGATTGGAGTTAAGAACACTGAAACGCTAACCCGCTACCACGAAAAGAGACAGGGAGAAGGTAGAGGATGGGAAAGGAGGGGCTACCAACACAGGGGTCAGACAGAACTGAAAGGGAGGCTAACTTGGTGAGAATGGAAGAAAGAGAGGTCTACTCCCAGGTCTGCTCGATTTCTGGATGCCACTTCTTGGTCGCCCTTGCCCTACTTGCCACCCCCACCAACTCCGCATACTCTCATTTTCCAACCTGGTCATTTGCATGAGTAGGTGAGACACCCACACCAGAAAGGGCTGAGCCAATCTGATCTTTACAAGGTAAGGTGGTCACCTTGCCCTAATGCAAACCTGGATTTGGGAGGTAATGGTGGCAGCAGTGGGACAAAGTTGATTAAAGATCAGGCCACTGCTTTTCCCAAAGAATCCCTGCCCTATCTCCACCCCACCATGATCCAAAGGGCCTCTACCAAGTTGTTGAGAGAGGCCCCCAGTCACCCTGCAAGTGTATAAATAAATAAATACTGAGCCCCTGGGTTTGGGGGACAGGTTGGGGGAGGGGCAGCAGGATAGAGGAAAGGAAAGAGGAGAAGAAGGGAAGGCAAAAGGGAGGGGTCACAGACATAGTAAATAGTTGTCTCCATCCCAGCAACACTTCTCTCTGGATTCTTCTCTCCTTTTGTTTGTTTAACAAGGAGCTAACATCTCAAGGACAAATACTTAAAAATATACATTTTTTTCTTCCTTTTTTTCCGCCTTTGTCGTTGTCTTGCTTTGGAGACTGCTGAGGTCAAAGTTCAAACCGCACGAAGGACCTGCGGCTTGGAGTTTTTGTGTATTTTTTTTAATTTTTATTTTTAAAATTTTTTCACTTTTTTTTCCAACGTATAAAAAGGTAGCGGAGTTGTCTGTGGTTTTTTTTTTAATGGTTAAATCTTTGGTTTGTTTATTTTTTCTCTTGGAGGCCTTTATCTCTCGCACTTGCCTTTCCCACTCAGAGACCAGTGGGGGCCCGCGTGTCTCAATCTTTCTCAGTCTGTTTCACTCTCTCACTCAGTTCCCCCTACCCTGGGCTAGAGGAAAAGAGAGGCACCCAGGGATTTGGGTGGGTCAGTAAAACTAGTCAAGAGATCACCCCTGTTTTGGCTAGTTCCTCATCATATCTTCCCAGGGTTTGGAGACCCTCTCTTGGCCTTTCCCAGGGAAGAGATGGGTGGAAAACTCATATCCTTCCCACTCCTCCTGATCTTAGCCCCACTTTCTACAGGGGCTTGGGTTCCCCATCCCTACCCACCCCCCCACACGCACTCCCACCACCCACCCCCCCAGAAGAGAACAGAGAGAGGTGGTTTAGTTACTGGCATCATTTGTCTTTTTTGGCACAAATAGAAGGCCCGTGGGTTCGAGAACTGCCTGGGCAGCAGACCTCATTTCTACAATAAATCAAAAAATCAGCCGGGCGTGGTAGCGCAGGTCGAGGCTGCGGTGACCATGATCGGCCACTGCACTCCTGTCTGGGCGACAGAGTGAGACTCCAACTCAAAAAAAAAAAAAATGATGAATGTG